AGTCTTAACTTTGATAAAGAATATCTCTTTGGTTTTGAGACTTTAGTCTTTGCAACTTCAGGGATCTTATCTATGCACAATCAGCTTGTAACACTACAAAGAGAAAGGAAAACTTGAAATCGCATCATATGACCCCTTTAACTATTTTAAATGGCTTTGTAAATCTTTTTTTTTTTTATTATTATTTCTTCCATCAGTGACCAAAGGAAAAGTGACTTAAATGTGTTCAAGTTCTTAAAAACAAATATCAAGGATATCACATGTTCATGACACTGTTATGTGTTTCACTCACGTGAGCTGAAACATGGTGCTAGAACGACAGAAGGTCTGTATTCTGACAAAAGTAAAACATATCTTGATGTTATTAATTTATTTACTTAGTAAGTGTTAAAGTGACAAGGAGCTACTTGAGGCAACAGAAGGTACTGAAATCATCAATGACGTGGTTCCCTTCAAGCATGACTGTAATTCTGTGTCTGATTAAGACTGTTTAAGGGAACAGACGCCAATGTCTTAACACCTTGCCATTTCTATCCTCTCGCAAGAACTAAGAAAAGCAAACATGCAACGAGAATTGCGAGAAGAGTGAAAAGGATGAGAGAAGAGTAAAAAGAATGAGGACCGGAGGGGCCATTAAGACAACAAAGTCTGATCTGATATCTGCTCTACTGTCAGCTGTACAACTCTGTTAGCAGGTGATGGACTAAGAAGGAGAAGAGTGGAGAAAATGAGAGATGTGATGAAAGAAGAGAAGAAGAGAGGAGAGGACAAAAGAGGAGAGGAGGTGAGATGAGAAGAGAAAAAAGGGGACGAGACGAAAGGAGAAAAGAAAGAAGACAGGAGAGAAGATGAGGGGAGAAGAGAGGAGAAAATAGGAGATGAGATGAGAGAAGAAGAAAAGAAAAGAGGAGAGCAGATGAGGAGAGGAGAAAAGGGGGAAACGAGGAGAGAAGACAAGATAAGACAAGAGGAGAGAGGTGTGAAGAAAATTTAATAAAAGGAGTGGGAGAAAGAGGAGAGGAGAATAGAGGAAAGGAGAGAAGAAATAAGACGAAAGTTGAAGAGAGAGGACAAGAGGAGAGCAAAGAGGTAAAAAAGTGGTGAAAAAGGAGAAGAGACAAGCAAAATGGAGAGGAGAGGAGACAAGATGAGAGAAACAGTGGAAACAGGAGAAAAGAGGAGATGAGAAAAGAGTGGAGAAACAATGTGAATTAAGAAAAAAGTCAAGAAGAAAAGAGAAAAAAGGAAAGGAGAGAAGAAAAGAAAAGAAAAGAAGCAAGAGGAAAACAAGAAATGAGGAGAGGATATAAAATGAGACGAGAGGAGAAAAGAAGAGACAAGAGAAGGAGTAAGTAAGGAGAGAAAACAAGACGAGACAAGAGTAGAGGAGAGGAAAGAAGAGAGAGAGACAGAGAGATGGTTGCGTGGGCTGCCTGCTCCTCTTACACAGCCATCCAATAATATTGGCTAATTACATGATTTCTTCAGCTTCTCCAGCCTCTCATCATGAGTGGGAGTCAAAGCCTCATTGGTGGAGTATATAGCTGCTGACAGAATAGCTTGTCCTGATTTTCTCTCCCTCTCCCTCTCCCATTCCTCTCTCCTACGTTGGTTTCTGTAGCAGCGGTCCCTCTGAGACAGGTTTCCCCGGAATCCACGTAAAGAGGTATCTCTACCCACGCTGCAGAGTCAGGAACATCTCATTTGGAGCTTTCTTCAGTGCTGCCTCATGCACACACGCACACACCACACGCCCGCAAACCCTCATGCCTGCTCCTCTGGTTCTCTTTTATTAAACTCTAGCTCTACTTCTCCCTCTCTCTCTCTCTCCTCATCCTACACTCTCTCACGCAGGAAACAGGGGAACCTGCGTGGGCGGCAGCGTCTCTCCCTGTCATTGAAGCCTTAGGCCCCGTTGACAAATGAGACGCTGGGGCCTTTCGACTGAGCGTGGGTGAGAGCGGGGATTCTGTATCTGCACTGGAGAATCTCTCTCACACACACACACACACACACACACAAACAAAAACCACAGAGCCCCGTGACCATCACCCACTTGATCGCAACGGTCACAGGCACGTATTAAGACACGTGTTGAGTTCTGCTGACAGTTTAGCTCTTGTACCGTGTCCGACTTTGATTAAAGAGTAAACTCACGGGTATACTTCAGCTAAACGCTGAGCCATTTGGAAAGCTGTGGGGTCACGATCTGCTGCCACCACCGTTACACCGGGAACCGACTGCAGGATGGCTTTCGAGTGACCTCCGGCCCCAAAGGTCAAGTCCAGGACCACCTGTTAGAAAAAAAAAAAAGAACAGAAAGAAAAAGCTAAATGTTTTATCCATGATGAAAACTACTTTCGGCTTGAACAAAGCTGCTTAATGTTCAACCAGACATTGATTTTGCTCTAAGTACGAAGCCGCTGTCCATAAAGTTTGTTACTACTTTTCAAAGAGGTCGGAAAACACATTTGCGCATTCTCTCTCTTTCTCTTCCTTACAAACACGCACGCTCACACTAGAGACACTATCCTGTGTTCTCACTCAAAAGTCAATGCATGAGTCATCGTCTGTCCTATTGAAAGCGTCTCAGTGGTTTCTTAGAGCCACAGTGGCAGCTACACCTTGGGTCCATTTCCCAGAGCCATCCACCCACCCACACGTCATACCCTAAACAATACGAATCCATCCTCAATAGCACCGACAAAATATTTGCTGTTATAATGCCTGATAACATCTCAAAACCCATGATTCATTCACATCTTTAACTTAGAAAAAAAAAAAGTATGAAGAAGAATCTGTTGAGGTCAGAACGTTCAAGGTTTTTGTTTGTTTTCCATCTGAAGTGCCAATCAATTCAAAAAATCAAACCCCATTCATTGCTTTTTTTCACTCTAGTTACTGGTCTGAAAAGCCTAGTACCAGTACCAGATTAAAAAAAAATAATAATAATAATTACTACTACTAATTATTATTATTATTATAAAAAAGATTTATTAAAGGGATCATGAACTGCCTTTGTTTTTTTATTTTGTACTGTTCTCTGAGGCCCACTTATAAGGTTATCAAGATTGTTACATAAAAAAAACATCATAATTTAGAAATAATAGGCTAATTTCTGTCCTGTTTTGACCCTCTCCCCATCTGAATGCTCTGATTGAATAGGTATGGCAGATTGTAGACTCGGAAGTAAACACCCACTGCTTTGATTGGCTAATAGTGGTGTATGTTTGACAGCCTACATCCTTCACAGATGGACGCTGCTGTGATTTAGGTTAAAAATGCATAAATACTCAGTACATATCAAACAATCTGTTTAACAGACAAAGCAATAGTGATCACGTAATGAAAACAGTTACTCACACTTGTGTGGTGCGACATTACTGTCAGATCCAATATAGTCGGCATATAATCTTTTAGTTTTAGTCTCAGAAAATTCTGCGTCGAATTGTGCCTCGATTGTAAACGAATCTGCGGTAAAATGAACAAAGGACCAAGTTCTTACTGATGCGGTCTGGAACTTCATTAAAATTAAAGTTGTGTTTTTCCACAACTTGGCACTGCACAGCATCTTGTTGTAGGATTCCGGCCTTCAAGATATTGAAACCCTTGAATCTATAAACGGACACAAACGAACATTGAATCTCTACATTCCACCGGGAAAACTAAAGGTTCTTCCCCCCAGCCATCTGCAGTCATAAAACTACGTACAGGGTCAGCTCAGGGTCTCAGCAGTTCCTGTCTCTCTCTGCTTATCTTTACAAGAAACAACAAGAACTGACCCTACCCCATCTGGATTTATTTAAGCAACAGAACGTCAGTAGGTTCCGTGACCATCTAATGGACCACGGAACAAAGAACCTGGTATCTAGACAGAATTCCAGTGACAGACACTCCCGGACCTCAGGACCGTTAACACATAAATTGCTAAATCTGATAAACAGAAAGTGGCAGATTAAGAACTCAGTGTAAACCATTTAAATTCAGAATCAATTTTGATCAGGTGGACCTCGAATTCTCAGATCGAGTTCTTTCAAAACCTGAGCTAGAAATAAACCTGAATTAATTAATAATAATTAATTCCCTACAGTTAAAATTAAGTTATCAAAGTCATTACATTGTTGTCTTCGGAGCCATCTTTATCGTTTGGTTTCTGCGTAGACCTGCGTTTGTCTCTCTCGATATTTAAACTACATGCGTGAATCGGTGGGCGGGGCTAAACAGACAGTGATGTAGAAGCAGGCGTTGATCTTCTTCTGCGGAGGCAGTGTTTAGTCACACTATTACATCAGAGTCGTACATTACACAACCTGTCGTTTGCAGACTGGCTTCGATATAAGCTGTTTTTAGACAAACGAGAAAGTTCTGAAACTTACAGAATGTTTTTATAGCATAATGACCTCTTATATTCTGATTTCTCAGTTCATGACCCCGTTAAAAGAATAATAACCCTAAATATATATATATATGTGTGTGTGTGTGCGCGCGCGCGTGTAATTTAAATGAATAATGAAAATTAATAAGTTAATTTAATTTATCATATCTCAGATTTATAAAAGGAATAGCTCTACCAAAAATGAAAAATCTGTCATCATTTACTCACCCTCAGGTCTTTCATACCTTGTATGGCTTTTTGTCCCCACACAATGAAAGTCAAGTCAAGTCAAGTCACCTTTATTTATATAGCGCTTTTAACAATACAGATTGTGTCAAAGCAACTGAACAGCATTAATTAGGAAAATAGTGTGTCAATAATGCAAAATGACAATAGTAAACACTAATTTTCCAGTTAAAGACAGTTCATCATTGAATTCAGTGATGTCTTCATTCAGCTCAGTTCATAGTATCATAGTATCTGTGCAATCAAGGCGACGATATCGCTGGAAATGAAGAGTCCCCAACTAAGCAAGCCAGAGGCGACAGTAAAAGTAAAAGGTGGCCATGGCTATCAAGCAAAATTTTCAAGGCAAGATTTTCATTGAACAAAATTTCAGTCTGTTCCAGACATGGTATTCAGAAGACTTGGAATGTAGAGAGTCAGGCTTGTAACCCGAAGGTTGCGGGTTCGAGTCTCAGGTCCGGCAGGGATTGTGGGGGGATTGTCGCTGCCCACTGCTCCAGGTGTGTGTTTACAGTGTGTGTGTGCGCACTTGGATGGGTTAAATGCAGAGCACAAATTCTGAGTATGGGTTACCATACTTGGCCACATGTCACTTCACTCACTCAATTTTTTGAGCTTGACAGCTCCTGTTCACTGGTTTCATTGTAATGAAAAGAGCAGCTTCTTCAGAAAACTGTTTATATATAATTAAATATATAGTAAAAGTAATATATCCTGCAAAGTTAAAATCATATTGAGGTTTCATTACATTATGATTTTCCATCGAAAATCTGAAGCCACATTTGCTGGCAAAAACAGGCAGTGCTTCTGTTGCAGCACATGCAGGTCTTTTTGTTCTTCCTTCATTCCACTGCACACTGATTAACTTGTGAGACACAGACAACATGCTCCGAGGTAGACGCCATAGGCCAACAGTTCCACTCCACCGCTGGGCAGCACACCACAAAGACAGAGTAATTAGTAGCTTCTAACGGATACGTGTCATTAGTACTAGCTGGGAAAATACATCGGGGAGAGCAAAAGCAAGGGCCGTGCGTCAGAATGTCACAAGGCATGATTTTCAATTTAATCTCATGCTAAGAACAAGAAATTTGGTTTCTGTTCACCTCATGGGAGAGACGCCTATGATAGTGCCTGCGCTCGTTCATGAGTCACTCCCTTTTTCATCTTCAAGTTTGAACGTTCATGTTCCTACTTTATATTCCACTGCTTTTCCACATAGTTTTGAGTCGTGTTTTTCATTTTCTTTTTATAGTTTTATCATTTACAAATGAAAACAGCTGCAGATCGATACTTGTTTTGCACCATACCCTCAAGTGTATGAGGTCAAAGCCTTTAAATAATGATGCGCTATCAAGCTTTCACTCTATGTGTCCATAGCAACCAAATAATCTTCATCCTTCATGCTCTTCTGTCACGAAAAGCCACAAATTAATTTATGGTTCGGAAAGTATTAGAAAACCGGATTAAAGAAAGGACTGCATGAGGAAATTGTTGCAACTGTAATTAATAAATCCAGTTTAATGACAGCAACTCAAGCTGATTCAATGTTCGATTTGCCATTATTAAATAAAAGAGGTTTTGATCACTTTATGCAGACAGACGGTTTTAACAAATAGCTGAAAGAGTGAATGAGACATACTGTTAAAACATTTAATGTTTTAGAGGTGCTTTGCCCTAGGATAAAAGAAATGATTTCCTGGCACACAAGCATCACTGTTTTTCTCCGATTCAATTTATTCCTGTGTTTTAGAGCTAAATGATTATTCCTCAGTTGATGACTCACTTTCAGCCCTCAAATTCAACTGCCCCCTTATGATACTGACAGGAACAACAACATATGCGCTGGTGTGGCTCTAGCATACTATAATAGCATAGAGGGCTTGCCACATCTTATCACAACCGCAAAAACAAACATTTCAGAAGTCCCACTGTGTATTATAAATGCTTTTTCTTTTGGTTTACCAAAGAAGCAGGATAAAAAAATCGAGCTGGTAAAAACTGACCACCTCCTCTCTGAAACATCAGCACAGAGATGGGGCTTTTTGGGGGCGATGGGCTCAGAGAGAAAGAGAGAGAAGCATGCGGATCGATAGTGACGTTGGTGGAGGGCTGCGAGCGTGCATGAGCAGAACAGGAGGTCATCAATGGTGGAGGGGCTGCGTCTCCCTCTCCCATCTGAAAAGCAGGCACAGCTAAAGGTGAGGGAGAACAAGACGACACGATGAGTCACAACAACCAGCATCAGTACGCCTGGTGTGCCATTCAATACTAGTGAGAGGAGGAGAGAGGGATAGATATACAGAGAGAATGAAAACATGTAGATTAAGAAAAAAATATATTAAAAACAAAACAGAAACCTGCGTTTGGTTGGCCTTTGCTGAAAGGGGCCCTGTTGGAGGGAAAAGGCTTGACTGAATTTAGTCCCACTTTAGTATTATCTGACATCTGGTTATGTCAATAGATAATCATTACAACACTTCATCATACCTATTTCTGTGATTATCTAGGAAAAACACAGAAATAAAACCGCAGTCATAATACAATAACATTTTTAAAAGCTTAAAACTGTAATTTATATCATTTTAAAATATATGTCACATGCCTAAGCCTGATACAGCATATCACTGGATTAGTTTGGTGTGGGACTATCAGTTTATAAGCATTATTTTT